ATTGCATGTCAGTAACTAGATTTCTTTAAAATAATGTTGTCCCGACGCGCGGGACCTTCTGTTACTCGCGGGGGCGAGGGGAACCGTGCCTGAAAGAGATGAGTGAGAGAAAGAAACGAGACCAAGCGAATGATTGTCAAGGTCTGCTTTACTTAGATTCTTAGTAGATTTTATAAGCATACAGAAACAAGGGAGTAGAAACAAAAAAATAGAGTGGCGACAATGAGGCTTGGGTCTGGGTTAATCAGCCCCAATCAGCGTCTTATCGGTATCCTGTTTTTGACTGGTTACTCATCTCCAACCTGGCAGGTGGTCGGGAACAATTGCAGTCAGCATACCCTGGAGCATCCCGTGGTCAGCACGTCACGGACTGCATTCTTCTCGGAGTATAGCTGGAATTTTCCAGGGCGAAGTCCGTGCGTAGGACGAGTCATAGGAGAGTTGAGGGTCTTTGAGGGTCCTTGCCTCTAACATAATGTGCTTGCTGGCACCAGAGATTTTATTTGTACGTTCTGTCCAGACATTCTATCAGTATGTTCTTTGCTTTGACCTTGCATGTATTTCCCTGCAATAGTACCTATGTGTCCACTTAGGTGCTGCTCAGTTAATACCAGTTTGCTGGAGAATGTATCTGGTGCTTGTTATTCCATTCTTGGGATACTTCACTTAGTAGTATGGGTTCCAGCTCTAACCAGGAAAATATAAGATGTGCTATATCACCGTTGTTTCTTAGAGCTGAATAGTACTCCATGGTATACATATACCACATTTTATTAATCCATTCTTGGATTGATGGGCACTTGGGCTGCTTCCACAGTCTTGCAATTGTGAATTGTGCTGCTATAAACATTCGAGTGCAGGTGTCTTTTGTAGAGTGTCATTGGATCATTTGGGTAGATGCCCAGCAATGGGATTGCTGGATCAAATGGTAGATTCACTTGTATCGCTTTAAGGTATCTCCATATTGCTTTCCACAGAGGTTGAACTAGTTTGCAGTCCCACCAGCAGTGTAGGAGTGTTCCTCTCTCTCTGCAACCACGCCAGCATTTATTGTTCCCCCACTCTTTCTGGGAACTGCATTCCCGCCTACAGCCCGGAACAGGTTAAGTCTTGTTGAAACTCCCAGGTTGCGCCGCGCCCCCAGGTGGGCGGCTGGCAGAGTTCACAGGCTTTGTGTTGGGCGACATGGGATGATTAGAATAGTTAGTCAACCACAGTAACTAACTGCCTGAGGTGAGAACCCTTCCTTTAAAAGCTGTGTATTTCTGCCTGTGTTGAGGAAAAATTTGGATTGTGAGACCATAGTCTCCATTTTTCCTCCTTTTGCTGGCAAAGGAATAAAAACGTCTCTTATTTCTCCCCAAACCGCTTGTCCTGGTTCTTCTGCTTGGGCTTCATGGACGAGTGGCCGAGTTTTCGGGGACAGTTTGGCGAACGCGGAGGCGCGGGCATCCACCTGGACGGTGTCAACGCGGAGCGGCTTCACCGCCCGAAGGTCCCCGCGCCCCGCCCGCCGCGCGGGAGCCTGGCGGGTCTCGGCCCCACCCGGCCCCCGGTGCCGGCTCTGCCCCAGAACGGGGACCGGGATGCGGCGCCCCCTGGGTCCCAGGGCAGGGCGAGGGGATACCACGTCCCCCAGGATGGGGGGGTGGGGTGTGCCTCCCTGCCAGACGTGGGAAGAGGCCAGGGAATCCCCTCCCGCCTTTACTGTTCTTGGCGCTCACGGCTCCCCAAAATCCCCAGGAAGGGAAACAAAGAAGCCCAGCGGGCGGCGGGCGGCGGCGGCGGGCGGAGGGTGAGCCCTGCTGGCGGGGACCCGCCTCCTGCGGGCGGCCGCGGGTTCCCAGGCTGCTCCGCCCGGTGCGGCCCGTGGGCGGGGCGGGGGGCGGGGCGGGGGCGGGCGGCGGGGGCGGGGGCGGCGGCGGGGGCCGCCGGCGCTGCGCCGAGAAGCAGCCGAGGGCGCAGCAGCTCCGGGACGCGCGGCCGCGCTCGCCATCCCTGCGGCTCTCGGTTGGGAAGAGCGCGTGTCACCCGGAACCCAGAAAAGCCAAAGAGGAAGCGGCTTCTCCGAGAGTCACCTGCCGTGCGACCACACCAGGGCCTTCCTAGCAGGTGAGTATCTGTCCACACCCGGACATTAGGAAGAAAAATCTGCCCTCCCCAGATGTCATGGGCGTCTGACCTGCCCGCTCCCTCAGAGTGCGCGGAACTTTGGGGCGAGCGAGTGGGAGATTCCTGGGGACAGAACTTTGTGGTCTGTGGCTCAAGGGCTTTGGGAAAAGCCTAGAGAAGGAAAGTGGCTTTCCCCGGTCCTGGTCCCCCTGTCCTGGTGCAGAGCGACTTCACCGCTGTCCGCCGCCACCCCACTCTGCACCAGCTCATCTGCCCGGCCCAGGCTGGGAAACTTGTGACAGCTGTGACTCAACAGAAACCTTGGTGCTTCAATTGGGGGGGATAGGGATCCGGTTTGAAACCGCCTGAGGCCCGCTTATTTTTGTGAACACAATACCCCGACTTTCTGAGGAGACTTGTCTTTAAACTAGGTGTGCCACGTGTTTCATAAGATACTGCTCTTAGCTTAGTATTCATGGGTGCTGTATAATCATGATCTATTTAAAATTTGCCCATCCCTCACATTGAAAGCCTCTGCCTTCAGCATTACCACTGTATCCATGTACATCTGTACCCACTACATATTTTTGAAGTAAAAAATAAATACAATAAGTAACAATGCCATCTCTCCCTTGGCGGGGTAATTCTAGAAAATCTGCTCAGACCGCTCCTGCTATTTCCCAGGTATTTTCTTATTCTTAAAATTGCACGGGTGGATTACAATATATCAAATATACAATATTTGTTTAAAATAAACACTAAGTTTATCTCCTATTTGGACTCAAATGTTTTGTTGGATGAATCAGATATAATTGGTATATTACATAGGTTTATTATGTACCTTGTTAAGAAAAATCTGAGGCACAATAAATTTTATAAAGTTTATTTGAGTAGAAGCAGTTCATGAATGGGAAACACCAAACTGAAAGGGGTTTAATGTTTCCAATCTACAGGAGCAAGTATTTATGGCGTAAATGGGAAGCAAAGAAAGAAATTATTTGATTGCTGTCTTATTCTGTTCCATTGGAGAGTCCCTAAGTGTGTTGGCTACTTCTGATTGGTTGAATTTAAGTTCTGTTTTCTTTTAATATACACTGTTACAAGAAATAGCTCAAGTTTCAGTTTGGTTTCCACATGGAGCAATCCTGAAACCTAACTGGTTCCAGCTGCAAATAGTAGGCTTTGAGATGCCTGGGAGCATGACTGATGTCCTTGGCATTTCTTTATATCTTGAACGAGTCATAAGGAAATACCAAGATAAATATGGATTTATTGCATGTCAGTAACTAGATTTCTTTAAAATAATGTGCTTGCTGGCACCAGAGATTTTATTTGTACGTTCTGTCCAGACATTCTATCAGTATGTTCTTTGCTTTGACCTTGCATGTATTTCCCTGCAATAAATATGGAGGTTTGGAGAGGTACAGGAGCTCTTTGAAATGAAAAGAGTCTCTCCTCGCTTTTCCAACTTACAGGGAAAAATGTAATTGTAGGTCAGATGACAAAAGTATCAATTTACAAGTCTGACAATTATCAAGTTAAAACAAATGATTATATTGCAGACTTTTCCAGGACAAAGCTACAACTTCTGATGTCTAGGTGTCTTAGAAGATCCCTTTTCTGTAAATAACATTACTGGGACATTATATAACAGACAAAAACAGGGCATTGCATTTTTTTTTTTTTTTGAGACAGAGTCTCACTCTGTTGCCCAGGCTAGAGTATTGTGGCATCAGCCTAGCTCACAGCAACCTCAAACTCCTGGGCTCAAGCGATCCTCCTGCCTCAGCCTCCCAAGTAGCTGGGACTACAGGCATGTGCCACCATGCCCAGCTAATTTTTTTTTATTTTTAATTGTTTGGCTAATTTCTTTCTATTTATAGTAGACATGGGGTCTCACTCTTGCTCAGGCTGGTCTGGAACTCCTGAGCTCCAGCAATCCTCCTGCCTTGGCTTCCCAGAATGCTAGGGTTACAGGCGTGAGCTACTGCATCTGGCCTACGTTTTCAAAAATGTATCTGCACTTAAGAGACTAATAATGATATTTTTGTGAATGTTATCAATTTACTGTTTTATTAGAACTAGATTTTAGGACTCAAAATAGTGAAGTTTCTTTTCAGCTTTTAGGGAAAAGGAGAAAATTTTTATTTCATCTTTCTGAGACATTTTCTGTTAGCAGTTAGTGATGAAAGCACCAGCATTTGAAGTATAGGCACCAAAAATGGACTTTAGAGGTTTAAAACTTACAATATAGAAAAAGAAAAGGTCATAGGAGAAATTTTTACAAATGAAGTAGGCTCTCATAATTTATATCTAGCTTCTTCCACCTCTATTCCATCCTACAACCACGGCCACACTAAATCTCCTAAAAGTACAGTTCTGATTATGTACAGCCCCGTTGCACATCCACCTTTCATGGGTCCCCAGTGCCTATCTCATGGCCATTTACTGTCTCTAATCTACCTTTATTACATCTTGTTACCAAGTTTTAAATTTCCCTTCTCCATACACTCTACACCAGTGATTGTCAGCACAGGCCTCCTTTAAGGGGGAAGGACCTCTGAGAACATCTGGATGTTCACATTCCACCCCTAGAGATCCTGACTTAATTAGTCTGTTGAACATTAGAATTGTTTTGTAAAAGTCCCCTGGTGATTCCGATCTGAAGGCAAGGCAGAGAATCTTTGTTCTTCCTCATTCTATGTGTAGCTAGAATAACTTAGTTTCACCTTCATCTGTTGAAATCCTGCCTGCCCTTTAAGGTTCAGTAAAAGTGTCATCCACCCTTCTCTCCTCCAATGAAGTCTTTTCCCAAAGAAAAACACTCCCTGCCTGAGACTTGGGCCACAAGTAGTACAGTTGGTAAGTTCATTATAGGTGAAGTTGACACCATACTATCATTGACCCTTCTAAAGCCTCTCCCACTTATTCTCTTTATAGTCTCATTCCCATATCCCCCATAGGCGCCCATTCTAAGGTACTTAATGTACACTGTTTTATATTTAATACAGGTTTTATTTTTTGTACAAATATATTTAGTATATATTTTTATTTAGCATGGTGAACAACTATGTATCACAAGTTTATACTTAATTATCACAAAGTTAGCACCCTTCTTACAACCACCACCCTAATCATAAAATAGGACCTTACAGCAGTGCTGAATCCCTCTTGGACCCCTGACAATCATGTTTCCCTTCTTGCTTCACAAATGAATCCTATTTCTTGACTTCACAAGTTACTTTTGTCTGTTTTTGAACTTTATGTAAATGAAACAGTTCAAGATGTATTCTGTAGTGTCTGACTTCTTGTACTGAAAATTATCTTTTTTGAGATTTATCCATATTGTTGCCCACAATACAAATTTATTCACAATCATTGCTTTATTGTATTTTACTTTATTAATACACCATAATATGTTTCCATTCTACCATTAATGGGCAGTTTTCATATTGGACACTATAAATAATGCTGTTATGGCCATTGTCTACATGTCCTTTTCTATGCATCTATTTTGTAGGGGGCAGGGGAAATATGAGTAGAATTACCAGATCATGATTTGGTTATGCTCAACTTTAATAGTTATGCCAAAGTGTGTTATTACATTGTAAGAACTATTTATTTTCCTACCAGCAGTGCGTAGGAGTTTCAGTGGTACCATATTACCCCTGAAAAACTATATATGTGTCTTTTTCATTTTAGCCATTGTAGTGATTGTTTAATGAGATTTTTCCTTGTCCCACATGCTGTGAGTCAGAAGGGGGTTCACAACCTTTTTGGCACTGGGCACCAGCTTCTTGAAAGACAGTTTTCCCGCAGATTGGGAGTGGGTTTGGGGTGTAGTGGGTGAGGGGGAGGTGGTGGGGAGGACTTGGCGCAGACTTCTGGCTGTGCTTAAGCATAGTTTGCCTTGGGGGGTTGGGGACCTCAGGCAAAAAAACTTTTTCAACCGTCACCAGATATTTCGGTTTCACAGCTTCCTCACTCTGGTGTGTTGCAGACTGTTCCTCTCCGCAAGAAGATGGCAGCTGTAGAGGTTGCAGAGGGAATGTTAAAGACAGACCTTACCCTCAGAGATGGCATGGAAGAAGGAGGAGAATCTGGTAATGTAACTGATGAAATGTGAAATATCAAAAAGGCAGGAACTTTTCTTCCACTGAAGCCGGCAGGCAGCTGGATTCAGGCGCACATTGGGAAGTCACAGTCAGTCTCCACAGCAGGGATTTGTTTAGCAGGGAAGAAAGGTGGCTTGGAATTGATGTAGAATTGTTAATTGGTTCTTGTATTCCTGTGTCTGTTACTTAAATATTTCTGGGGCAGGAAGAAATTAACAGAACAGATCAAAAAGGATGAGGAAGGAAAATGTTCTTTGTGTTTCTGTTTAGTCCTCTATTTTCCCAGGTTTCTGGCAACTTGGACTCTGGACTCTGGATAGCATGTCCTTTGTATGCCAGAGTGATGACCATCTTGCAACAACCTTGAAAAATATATATACTAAGAGAAGTTGCCCTCCAAAACTGAGACTTTTGGTTTTATAGATCGTTTGTAATTAAAAAGAGATATGGGGACTTCAGGGTGAGGGAGAGAGGCTGAAGCTACCCACCAGCAAATCCTTTAGCATTTCAGTTTGTGGCAAATTCTGTAAGAAAGGGACACAGTAAGGAGTCAAGCAGAAAGATCCCCTTTGCTGAACCTCTTTGTTCTGCTTTTTGAAAAACACTTATTTTATTCTTTTTCTTTTTTGTTCCTTCACCCTTCACTTCAATTTTATTTATTTATTTTTGTTTGGGAGGGCAAGGCATTGGATTTCCTGAAAACTAGGCTCATATTGAACAAAAAAAGAAAGGATATAAAGAATGTTAATGTTTCTCGGTTAAGCCCAGTTCTTACAAAACTGAGAGTAATATGTAACCAGTCAGAATGTTACACAATGAAGTTGTGAAACTTATTCTTTTAAGAATGCATCCTGCTTTTGTAGGTTAAGTAAGTCTTGCATCTTGAAACTGTTAGTAAGTTAAAATTTCACCAGTAACATGGTTTATACCTTTGTTCTTGTTAAGGATAATTTGTAATAATGTTTTTCCAACTAGAAATTTGAAGAGCATTGTGTTCAGTGTATACTATGAGGCATGTGAATTTAGAGGGAGACAAGAATAGGGAAGGCAGTTAAGAAAGGCAGAAGAGAAATAAGCAAGAGAGAAATGGAACAATGATATTAGTAGGAGGAAGTAGAGACAGGGAAAAATCAAGAGAAAACAGGGTCTTTTTGAAGATTTGTAAGAGGCAAATGGGAGATTTGGGGGGGAGATTTAAGTGGACATTTACATATTACTGTATAACAATGAAAACATTATAGAAATCATAATATACTGAGTTTTTAAGACATTTTTGCTTTAAAGTTGAACCAGGAAGAAAGAAGGTTAAGATTTTTATATGGAACCAAAATCCAAAATGTTATCATATACTGCCTAAAACCATCCAATGCAATATATTAATATCTTTTCCCCAGTGTAAATTTAAGCTGGGGCTCCCTATTGTTCTTGGGGATGTATGTTAAGTGAGTGAAATGTAGTGGCTGAAAGAAAATCAGCAGGAATATTTTTTTAAAGTATAATTTACATTCATTAAAATTCACTCCTTGGTGTACATTTCTATGGGTTTTGACAAACACATATAATTATGTAGCCACCATCAAAATCAAGATATAGAACCATATCAAATTCCCTCATGCCCCTTTGTAGTCATTCTTTCCTCTGCCCTTGGCAACCACTGGTCTGTTTTCTGCTCTTCCACTTTTGCTGTTCCAGAATGCCATGTAAATGGGATCCTGCATGAACTGCAGAGTCTGACTTCATGCACTTAGTAATGATGCCTGAGAGTCCTCCACAATGTAGTCATGCACCCACAGTTTGTCAAATAAGGGCAAGTCTGGACTTAGATAGGGGAGACTTTATTCAGAAGGACTGTTACAGTAGGAACAACACTCTGACTTCAAAAATACACGAACGTTTCAAAATCAAACAGAAAAAGGCTTTTATTTTAGAAAGAAGTTAGGGTGGGCTAGTAAACAACTGGTATGTAAGAGGGCATTCATGTGGAAGACAGCTGGTGGCAGCAGGTGTTTCAACAGGAAATGTTTCTCTTTGCAGATCTTAATATAAAGCATTAGGGTAGGCTGTTTTTGCATATTAGTGCTTTAGAGCTTGGTGAAACTTGTGTGCAAGCCAGAGTTTAAAGGCTTGTGGGGAGGAAAGAAGACTGACAAACATTTGGCCCGCCAAAGCAGGCTAAGAAATGAATAATAGGATATATGGTCAAGGATTTTTTTTTTTTTTTTTTTTTTTTTTTTAGTGCTGAAGAGTTCCTTATCCCTTCACCAGTTTAAGCATATTTAAACTGTTTCCAGTTGGTGATAATGAATAAAGCTGCTGTAAATACTCATGTATAGGTTTTTGTGTAAACATACAAAAAAACTGCTTTTTTTGAGCCTCCCTGGTAACACATAGGTGTTTAAATTTTTTTCTGAAATCTCCCTTCTGCTCCATTGATTTATGTGTCGACACTTCTGTCAATACCACACTGCCTTTATTCTTGTTACTTCCGAAGTTACAAAATCAAGTTTCTTTTCCATCCTCACTTCTACTCTTTTTGTCTTTCACTATCCCATAACTGGAAGACTCCCTAGTCCTCTTGGGGCCATAGCTGTCATTTATGGACCAGGACCTTTTGTGACAGAGGTTGGCAGTAGCAATGTTGAGGTACAGCTGAGCTTAGAGTTGATTCTATGATAAATTTAATTTTCTCTCCCTAAGATCTGCATGAGATTGAGATTCTGATACTTGTATTTTATAGGTAAAGGTCTCCAAAGAAAATGTCTACGAATTAAATCTCCTATAACTGACATCAAGCTTTATTGTTGCTATTTCATCATTGCAGTCCTAACTATAAGTGTGGTTGCACTTTCTGTTGTTTTGTCAGGTAAGTTACTTTTTCTCCAACCTGTATGATATTCTCCACATATTTATGTTGTCAGTAAATATTTATGGAGCTCCATTATGTGCCAGGCACTGTGTGAAATGCTTGAGGTACATCAGTGGACAAAACACACAAAAACATTCCTAGCAGGAGTGACACAGGTAATAATAAATGAGGGCAGAGGTAGAACAGGTTACAGTAGGGTGGCCAAGGTAAGCCTTCTTGGGAGTGCACATCATAGTGATTTACTAACGTTAGGTCATGTCTCCCTGGGCAGTATTAAAATGTGCCAAGCAGTGCTGAGGACCTGTTGCCCCTATTCCCTTTGCTTAAGTAGAAGGTACAAATTCTTAAGACCAAGCGATATTCCTGAAAACATTTCAAGTAGAGTTCTCACTTTCTTCTTTAATAAAATGACAGTTCTGGTGGGAACATGTCAGGAAATAGTTCCATAATTGGAATTACTACATATTCCTTAAATATGTATTTAACAGAAATATATCTATACCTATATATGTGCATTATATGTGTATGTACATGTGTATGTATATATATATATATATGTATGTATATATAAAATAGAAAGCTACAAGAAGCCATAGCTTGTACTTTGGTACCAAAAACAATATTTTGAATCATGTTATGTTCACTGGTAGGTTTTATATCCCCCAAGAAATATACCCATAGTAAAATCCAAGACAGGTAAGGACTTTGCCTTTCCATTGTAAAGAGGAGGAAGGGCTAATATGAAGGGGAGGATGTGGAAAGAGAATCTATATGATCTTAGGAGAGAGTAGTATAGTTGTTGCTATAGAAATTGATTTCCTTGGACCTGTTAATATCAGTGTACACCTCAGAAAGTCAGGGGGACAGGTACCAGCCACAGACCACTGCACTGATGACTGTGTTGTGCTCAGGATGAGACTCTGAGTGATGAGTTAGGACACGAACGATCCAACATACACGCTTCAAAACTGACCTCAGGATGGTAAATGAAAAAAGAGATAGAAGAGAAAATTTATTTATTATACTTCACTGTGATTATCTAACTTTTAGTGAGAGAGGAAAAGGTGCCGTTAGAGCACTCTGTGTATGCTGCCTGCCCGGAAAGCTGGATTGGATTTGGAAGTAAATGTTTTTACTTTTCTGAAGACACGAGAAATTGGACATTCAGTCAAACTTTCTGTACCTCGTTAGAAGCCCACCTTGCTCAGTTTCAAACTCCGGAAGAACTGGTAAGAAATGTTTTTGAGTCATGCTTTCTGTTGCATACTTGGTCTCGAGGTGGGTCAGCTACATAGGGCTAAAGCTGAAATATGAGGAAGGATCTCATTTCAGGCAGAATTTGGGGCATGAGAGTGTCTAACATTTGCTGATGGTATATTCTCTTCCTAGAATTCTGTGAGACATTTTAGATATATTTTATCATGTAATCCTCATAGTTAACCTGCAAAATTAGATGCATTGTTCTCATTCTATTAAGAAATATGGTATTCATATAATTTGTCATCCAAATTGGGACATTTTGGGTATTAAAAGCAGGTGTTAATTATGATGGAATGACAGACATAAACTGGGAGTTTCCCGGTCATACAGGGATCTATTGTCATTTTAAATAAAGTAATTTAGGATCAGAGACATGTAACTTTGAGAATTGGGAGTAGTCTAACTCCAAAGTGTATGCTTTTCGATTAATACTATGTCGCCTTCCAAAAAGAGAAGGCTATAGGGAAAAAGAAACTCAAGAGTCATATGAAAGAAATCTCTGTTGATATTTTCTGTGTTTTATAACAGGATTTCCTGAAAAGATACAAAGGCCCTTCTGACCATTGGATTGGACTTTACAGAAAATCAGCACGTCAAAGTTGGAAATGGACAGACAACACTGAATACAACACCTCGTATGTTTTGAAACTTCTTTTCCTTCTACCGTGTTTATGTGTGGTTATGTGTGTGAGTTGAGTTTATGAGATGAGAAATGTAACATGGAAAGCTTATGAGGCAACAAATGTAAATCTTCTTTGTGCTTTCATTTATTAGCTGTACCCTTGGGAAGCTTTACTTATTATGATTTCAGTTGAAATCTTTAACATGATGGTGACATTTGACAGAGTTCTTGCACTTTCATCCACTGATTTAAAGCTTTCTTTGCTGAAAAGCCTATTTAGAATGTAGACAGAACAGCTGATTTACAGCAAGGGTTCTACCATCCTGGGAAGCCACTGAGGAACTGATATCCACAAGGCTCTTAAGTCCACTCTTGCAGCAGCTGCATCCATTCATTTTAATAAAAGGAAAGTCTCCAGGGAACCTATAGGCGTCTCTCCCAAAGTTTTATCACCAGAGGGAACCTAGTGGACTGTGAACATTTCAATGGAGTATTTTGATTATAACCATTACACTGGAGCAGATAAAATGTAGGGACCCAATCATTTCCCAAAGCTAATAAGCCCTTTTAGGAATTTCCTTTATGTAAATATATTTGGTTTCACATATTTATGAAACAGTTCCAGAGAAGTCTGAAAATAGTCTTCACTGAAGGCTGCTGACGGCAGCAGATCATTTGGGTACCACAGCAGCACCAGTTAAATACATAATCAAGAACGTAACTGGGTTTGGTATGGACAAATGATAAACTTGGGATTTTCAAGCAAGGACCCTGATAACATAAAGGGAACTAAATACATAAATGGTGTTTATTACTGAGAAGCAATATTAATGGCAAACTTTTGCTAGTCTTTTATTAACATTAAACATATATGGAGTGGGGTTGCTGGAGACAATAGGGGAGGAACAAATATAGTTGTCCAATCTAGCAATATTTAATATTTTTACATTTGGTTTTAGGTTTGCCATCAGAGGAGTTGGAGAATGTGCCTATCTGAATGACAATGGAATCAGTAGTGCCAGGAACTACACAGATAGGAAGTGGATTTGTAGCAAGCCAAACAGTTATGTCTATGGATGCCAAATGAGAAGCCCTATAAAGTATGGTCCATGAGGATGCATTGTGATTTGTTATATACAGTTGCTGCTTATTTTTTGGTCTATCAAAAATGTTATCAATTTGCATTCATAATTTCTGTTCATAGCAAAGATGCAAACTATCATAGAGTCATATAATACATACTGGTATAATACCAGCATTTGGAAGATTATGTTTCTAAATTAAATAGATATTTGGATATGAGTTGATGGTTATATTTTGAACATAGAGTACAATAACTATCAGCGAACTCCTCTCCTATGACCAGACATAAAACATCTTCTATATATACAGTCTTTGCTTTGAATGCATGGGTCATAATAATGAGTATGCTAATTGAAACCATGCAAAATGATTTTAATGATCAATGAGCAAAATTATAATTGGTCCATGACTCCAAAAATTTTTGTCAACACATTCGAGATTCTCTTACAGAATTCAGTTACAAATATAAAGAGACATTTAAAAAATACTAAGACTAATGTTTATTTTGTACTCTGTAATTTAAAACATGAGAAACACTGACAAAATATATTTTACACTTTAATTCTCAATGTTCATGTTTTAAATTACAGTATACTAAATAAATGTATCTGTAAAAAAAATAGTATTCTTCATTTTACCCTTTATTGGATTTAAAATTCTGCTTTTATCTCAGGTAAAATCATAGCTAATTTTACAACCTCATATAAATTACTGAGTTTCAAAAGCAAAATAGTTAAAATTTTTCTAGAAGCAGCTACACTGTACTGATGATTCCCAAAAAGGATGAAATAACAATTTACAATGCATCCTCTTTGTTACATTTTCTTTGTATTTTTTCTACTTTATTGAAGCATTTTTCCATTTGTTCTTATAATTATATAAAATTTTATTTTATATATGTTAATGTTCTTTAGATAATTCTATAACATTTTATTGTATATATCCTCAGGCTTTGTTGTTATAATTCAATAGAATTTTATTGTGTGTACCATAAAGCTACATTTTTATATAATTGAATAAAATTTTATTGTTTGTATTTTGAGGCTGTGTTATTTATTAGGTGCATACTAGTATATTTCATTCAGAAATAAATCTCTTTTCAGTGAATTATCATTTTATTTAGTCCTAATAGTGCTTTTTGCCTTACAATCATTTTATTTATTTATTTTTTAAAATAATAACAAATAACATTTATTTAGCATATGCTATATCCCAGAGGCTGTTCTAAACACTTTACTTACACATTTCATTTTAGTGAATTCTATCAACCTCCCTCTCAGGTAGGTATTATTTCTATACCCATTTTACAGATATAGAAACTGAGTCACAGAAAGGTTGAGGAACTTGACCCAAAGAAGATAGGGGATTCAGAATTTGAACACAGACCAAAGTCTCAATTTGCATTATACTGCTTCTACAGTGAATTGCCACTTAAGTTAAAATAGCTAAAAGATCAATATTCCCAAAACTCAATCAGAACAAAATATTTAAAAATATTGTGCTAGAAAACCTGGATTCAGTTATGCCCAAGAAAATTAACAATAATTCCCTAATAGCAATAAAATTATCCAAAAATTGTTTTATAACTTTTTTCCCACTTTTTAAAATTGTATTTTTATTTATTTATTTATTTATTTATTTATTTTTAGCATATTATGGGGGTACAAGTGTTAAGGTTACATATATTGCCCATGCCCCCCTCCCCCTCGAGTAAGAGCTTTAAGAGTGTCCATCCCCCAAACGTTGCACATCTTACTCGTTGTGGTTGTATATACCCATCCCCTCCTCCCCTCTCCCATCCTCCTGACACCCAATAAATGTTACTCCTATATGTCTACTTGGGTGTTGATCCGTTAATACCAATGTGCTGGTGAGTACATGCAGTGCTGGTTTTTCCATTCTTGAGATACTTCACTTAGTAGAATAGGTTCCAGCTGTATCCAGGAATATACAAGAGGTGCTATATCACCATTGTTTCTTAAAGCTGAATAGTATTCCATGGTATACATATACAATTTTATTAATCCATCATGAATTGATGGCACTCTGGTTATTCCACAGCTTTGCAATTGTGAATTTTGCTGCTATACACGTTTGAGTGCAAAATCAATACACAGAAATCAGAGGCATTCATATACGCCAAAAAGGGTACAAGGAAACAAACAAAGACTCAATTCCTTCAAAATAGACAAACAAAATAAAGTACCTTGAATATATTTAACTAAAGAGGTTAAAAAGACTACAGGAGAACTTGAAACACTGAAGAGGAAATACGAGGGCACGTAAACAGAATGAAGATATACATGCTCAGTGGGTCAGGCAGAATCACTTTGTTAACTAAGTCTATACTACCCAAAGTGACTAAGAGTCAACACATCCCTATCAAAATACCATCCATCTTTTTCACGATTATGAAAAAAATAATTTTTACGGTTATATAGACAGAGAAACCCATATAGCAAATCAATCTAAGACAATAAACAAACATAGGAGGTATCAATACCAGACTTCAACTAGACTACAAGGCTATAGTCATTAAAACAGCTTGGACTGGCACAAGAACAGGGACATTGACCAGTGGAACAGACAGAGAACACAGATATAAAACATCCTCAATATTGCCAACTAATCTTCAACAATGCAACAAAAATACACTGGGGAAAAGAATCCTTATTCAATAAATGGTGCTGGGAAAACTGGATAGCCACATGTCGAAGACTGAAACAAGACCTACACCTTTCACTCTCACAAAATCAACTCACACTGGTAACAGCTTGAACCTTAGGTGTGAAACTATTAGAAATCTAGGGAAAATGTTGGAAATACTCCTCTAGACATTGGCTAGCAAATCATTTATCAAGAACACCCCAAAGACATCAGAGCATCCAACAAAAATAAATAAATAGACTGATCAATTAAAAAGCATTTGCACAGCAAAGAAACTGTCAGAAGGCAAACAGACAATCCACAGAATGGGAGAAAAATTTTTGCAGATATACACATTGATAAAGGGCTGATAACTGGAATCTATTTAGACCAGGAAAACAGGAAAAAAAATCAAACAACCTATAAAAAATGGGCAAAGACATGAACAGAAACTTTTTCTAAAGAAGACAGAATAATGGCCAACAAACATGAAAAAATGCTCAACATCTCTAATCATCAGGAAATGCAAATCAAACACAATGAGATACACTTAATCCAGTGAGATGGCCTTTATCAAAAGTCCCAAACAACAAATGCTGCATGGAGTCGGAGAGAGAGGAACACTGCTGGTGGGACTGCAAACTAGTTCAACCTCTGTGGAAAGCAATATGGAGATACCTCAAAGCGATACAAGTAGATCTACCATTTGATCCAGCAATTCCACTACTGGGCATCTACCCAAAAGATCAAAAGTCAAAATCATTTTATTCCACATTTTCTAACAGGCAGGGACTATGTCTAGTTCATTTATGTATCCTTAGAGACTAGCATAGTGTAAAATATAGGATATATTTTAAAAATGCCTGTGCAAAGATGAAATGCCTTTGTGATTATAAGATTCTGCCCTATTTGCTTAGTTTCAGCTAACTTTCTATAAAGAAAGCTAAATTATACAGAAATCTAGAAAGCAATGAAGAGCAAGATTTTTTATTGATAATCTGTGTGTGATAAACTCACAAATGAAATTTGAGCTAAATTATGACCCTAACTGACCTAGTATTCTTTTACAAACCAGTTTCTAAGCCATATACCTAAAGCATGGATTCTATAACTTATCAATTATGACCTTGATAAATTACAGTTGTCCCTCCATATCCACGGGGGAGATTGGTTCCAGGACCCCTGCAGATAGCAGAATCCATGGATGTTCAATTCCCTAATATAAAATGGCATGGTATTTGCATATAACATACACATGTCCTCCCATATAATTTAAAGCATCTCTAGATTACTTATAATACCTAACACAACATAAATGCTATGCAAATAGCTATTATACTATATTTTTTTCTTGTACTTTTTGTTGTTACTGCTTTGTTATTTTTCATTGCTTTTTTTCTGAAATATTTTCAATGTCTGAATAGTTGCATTCCTGGATGTGAAACAGGAAGATATAGAGCTGCAGACATGGAGAATCCATTGTATATAGCTCCTCAGGCAGTTTCTTCATATGAAAAATGAGTATAATACCAGTTTAACTGGTAGCTGTAGCATTCATGTGAGACCATGCATGAACATCTCTTATCTGTATATCTAACTTACAGTAAATATATAATGGATTATTGTTCTTCCATTATTGCTCTATGGAAATGAAAGTAAAAATAAGAGCAATAGTTTTGCCACCAGTGTGGGGACTTCTCTGTGATACCACTACTACCAATAAGAAGGCAGTGAGATGTTTCAATCAGTTTATGATACTTCAGTGGAAATAACTACTAGTTGAATTAATCATTCAAAGTCCATGTGGGAACCAGTTATTCACAAGAACAAGCCTGCAAAAGTACATGGTTTGTAAAATATGACAGGAACAGTCTACATAATTTGGGACTTAGCAACTCTTCCATTTTTAATCCATTCTGATTCACGCTTTACATTGCAACCAAATTCATTGTTTTCATCCAAATATGATCAAGTCATTCACCGCCTATACTTTTCAATTGTTCCTCCTTTGCTTTCAGTATATAATCCGAACTCCTGATGGTTATAAGGGCATATTATGTTACTGCTTTCCTTTCCATCTTCTCTCTGTCATTCCCTTCATAATCACTATCTCTCCAAATTTGACACACACACAAAATGAATAGCTGTTGTACCACCTTTCTTTTTGTTTCCACTTGCATGGAATATTGTTTTCCATCCCTTCACCCTAAGTCTGAATAAGTCCTTGTAGGTTAGATATGTTTCCTGGAGACAGTAGATACTTGGTTTATATTTTTTTATCCATTCAGCCAGCCTATGTCTCCTCAGTGGGCAGTTCAAGCCATTCACATTTACTGAAAGTATTGATAGGTGGGGAGGATTTCTGTTCTTCCTGTTGAATAGAAATTTGCTGCTTTGTTTTACCTCTTGAGCCATTGTGGTATCTGGGTGACCCTTAGCTTTTGGATGATTTTACCTTGGTAGGTAACTCAAGACTCAAGATGAAGAGATGGAAAACAATATTCCATGAAAATGAAAACCAAAAGAAAGCTGGTATAAGAGTTCTCATATCAGATGACATAGATTTCAAATTAACAAAAGAGAAAAGTAT